AGAAAGATCGCAGTTTGAAGCTATTTTCAGCGATAACAGCGAACTGCAGAAAATAGCTTACTTAGTTGACATCTTTGCCATCTTGAATGAGTTAAATTTATCACTGCAAGGACCAAATGCAACGTGCCTTGATTTGACTGAAAAGATCCAATCATTCCAAATGAAACTGCAGCTTTGGCAAAAAAAATTGGATAAAAATAAAATTTTCATGTTGCCTACCTTATCTGCTTTCTTTGAGGAACATGACATTGAACCAGACAACAGGATTACGTTGATAAAATCTGTTAAAGAACACATGTGCATGCTTGCAGATGAAACCTCATCGTACTTTCCAAATCTACCTGACATCCCATTTGCACTTGCCAGAAGCCCATTCACAGTCAACGTTGAAAATGTTCCTGAGACAGCACAAGAGGAGTTCATTGAGCTTATTAACAGTGATGCAGCGAAAACTGATTTCTCCACAATGCCAGTTACAAAGTTCTGGATCAAATGTTTGCAGTCATATCCTGTTCTGTCTGAGACTGTGTTGCGCCTACTTGTTCCATTTCCAACAACATATCTTTGTGAAACAGGGTTTTCCAGCTTGTTGGTTATCAAGTCTAAATACAGAAATAGACTTGTTGTGGAAGATGATCTTCGGTGTGCTCTTGCAAAGACTGCCCCGAGAATTTCTGATCTGGTGAAAAGTAAGCAACCTCAACCTTCACACTGATGTTGGTTTTTTATGCATACTGTTGAAAAATGTAGCAATGAAGTTTACTGTTGTTTGTTATATTAAGACTGTTACCCATGCTACACCATGCTTCCACACAAAATTTCATTGTTTTGTAATTAAAAATAAATATTTAACAATATATAATTACATATTGTTTTTGTGATTAATCACTATGCTTTAATTATGTTCAATGCAAAAACATCCTGCATATCAGATATTTACATTGCAATTCAGAACAGTAGCAAAATTAGTTATGAAATAGAAACTAAAATAATTTGATGGTTGGTGGCCACGCCCACTTGGTGGCCACGCCCACTTGGTGGCCACGCCCACTTGGTGGCCACACCCACTTGGCCACACCCCTGGGGTCACCACAACATGGGGAACTGTATTATGGGGTCACGGCATTAGAAAGGTTGAGAACCACTGCACTAAATGAAGTTAGGCAGGCATACAAAGCACAAGCCGATAAAAAAAGGAGAAATGGTGTACTTATCTACAAAATACCTAAAGTCCCTACAACCCTGTAAAAAACTTGGACCAAAATATATAGGGCCTTTTCCAATTAAAAGAATCATAAACCTAGTAACAGAATTAGAATTACCCAAAAATTTCAGGCAAATACACCTAATTTTTAATTGCAGCTTGTTGAAAAGAGAACATCAGTCATCTTTACGGCCAAAAATCCCACCACCACCACCTCCAATCATGGTGGAGGGAGAACAACACTTCGAAATAAAGGAAATCCTTGACTCTAGGAGATATCATGGACCGACTCAGTACCTAGTTGCATGGAAACATCTCCCTGCCTCACAAAACAAATGGGTCCATAAACGTCATGTCAGAGCCCCGAAGCTATTAAAGAAGTTTCACACAGAGTATCCTAACAAGCCTGACTAACTTTTATACCTGTTTTGTTTTCTTCCAGGTGGATCTATCTTATTTTTAAGGGGGCAGGATGTCAGAATCCAATTATATTTCATCCCTAGTTATTAACTATGGAAAACCCCATTCCTGCCTTCCCTGGATTCTGTCATATGATGAAGGGTAGGGGGTGAACAAAGGGGCTTTATGGCCCTTATTTCCTTCAGTACACTTCAAAGAAACTGGATGTGGATACCACCAAAAGGACTAACCATAACAATGGGGCTATTAGCTTTCATGTACTCCTCTCTGAAGTCTACCTCCTGTCGGCAGTGAGAGAAAAAGGGTGGGAATGTAATGCCTGGGACTATCGCTGGAAGAAGGGGGTGATGGGGGGGCTACTGGGGAACCCCTTAAAACCTTGAATGGGAGAACTTGGACCCCAAATCCTGTCTAGAACGCATGCAACCAGTTTCTCTTAATAAAGATGCTTGTTGGAAGAAAGATTCCAAGAGTTCTGTCTTTTTAAGATGCAAAGTGGGGTGGGTCCTTACAGGGGCAGAGGAAAGAGAGAGGGGGATGACTTGTTCTGTCCCAGTGGGGACAAGGCAAGGTAAGTCAAAAGATGCGGAACTTTCATGCTAACATCTCCTGAAGCCTTGTTATCCCTGCCACAGACTCAGCTGATCCGCCCTCACTCTCTCTTCTCCTCTCTCTCTGGACGATGCTATTCACTTCAAATGATTGGCTACTGAGGCCCGGGAGCCAGGCAGGCGGGCAAGTCTCGACTGCAGCATTTTGTTGCTGTTTTGTGCGCGCGGCACTGGCTGGAAACAGAGCCAAGCAAGCTCTGTGGTTGGAAGTCCCTGCGGCTTGGGAGCCAGGATCTTACTCCTCTCAGTCCCAAATCCCAAGCAGGATTCACCACATTGGGATTGGAAGTGAGCGGTGAGGAGATGGTCTGTCTCTCTTCCTCCCTTTCTCACTGGCTACTGAAGCTCCCTGCTGGGTGCAGTCGGTCTGACGTGGAGGAGGGTCAGGGGCCTTTCAAAGCGTGACATTGCAACGGATGGTAGAGCCTTTCAGGAGAGTGCAGATGAACTGTAGCTCTCCAGATATTGCTAACATACAGCGTTTGCAGTCCCGATGCTAAATGAGAGGTACTGGCATTTCTCTTTGTCAGAATGTGGTGAATCCCCGATTGCCCATCTCTAAGGGAGGAAGTTAAATGATTTGGTAGGTGAATTGGTTCTGTTAGTAAAGAGGGGGGAAGGTGAAGAGAAAAAGAGAAAGAGAGAGAGAAGGAGAGAGGGAGAAAGAGAAAGAGAGGAAAGAGAGGAAAGGGAAAAAGAGAGGAAAAAGAAAGAGGGAGAGAAAGAGGGAGAGGGGGAGAGATAGGAAAGAGAGAGAGGAAAGAGAAAGAGAGAAAGAGGAAAGAGAGGAAAGAAAGGGAGAGGGAGAGGAGAGGGGGGAGAGAGAGGAAAGAGAGAGGAAAGAGGGAGAAGAGACAGAGAAGAAAGAGAGGAAAGAGAAAAAGAGAGAGGGAGAGGAAAGAGAGAGAGAGAAAAGAGAGAAAGAGAGAGGGAGAGGAAAGAGAGAAAGAGGGAGAGAGATGAGAGGGAGAGGAAAGAGAGAAAGAGAAGGGGAAGCACAAGTGCCTCTCTCTCTCTCTCTCTCTCTCACATACACATACACACACACACTGGGGGAAGAGGACTGGCAGACCAAGGGCAGAAAGAAGGAGAGGGAGAGACAAAGAGAGAGAGCCTTTTGACAACTAAAATGAAGAGAACACTGCATATATCCAAACTCGAAATAGCTATTCTAGTTCTCCCTTTATTCTTTGTTAGCAATCTAAAAAATGTATATGTAAATAATACAGTTGGCGACTGCTGTCTGTGGATGGCTCTAGATTGAGCTGATACAGGCAAAAGAAAGAGAAAGATTTCTTTCTCCCATATTTGGGCCGATAGGGTGCATCAAGAAACACTCAAGGTAAATCTTCTCCCCCTGTCTCTTCCCTCCCTGATACAGCTGACAAAGTGAGACAGAGCCTGTGGCCTAGAGGTTAATACAGCTGCCTAACATGCACATAGTCCAGGTTCGAATCTCAGAAGGGTAAGTCTGGCTGAAGAGAATTAAGAAACTCGAAATAGCTATTCCAGTTCTCCCTTTATTCTTTGTTAGCAATCTAAAATATATAAAATAAAGGTAAAAAATGATATATGCAGTGTTATCTTCATTTTAGATATCCAAAGGGTTTCGCGTCTCCCAGTGTTTTGTTTTCGGTGGGAAATGGGTCCAAGTGGCTCTTTGAGTGTTTTGGGTTGCCTACCCCTGCTTTAGTTATAAATAAAAAGCTATATAACATTTAGTGGTGAGGCCATTTCAATATAGGCATCAACTGGAAAGCTGTCTTTGTCCCTTTGGAATGATGTATGGAAGGCTTTTGTTACATGAAGGTTTAAGAATGTTGAAGGTTTAAGAATGTCAATGAAGAAGAGAAGAAAGTTACTCAGTATTTGCATAATCTGGCACAGGCTTTGTCTTCTATCTCAGTACAGGCCCTGGCTGCCCTACCACCTGTCTCTGGCCATTGTTATTCCTGGAGAGTGGGTTCAGGTGAAAAGAACTGTTACCTAGAAATATCAGTCCTGAGTGGTCCCAACCATGCCAAGTCCTCCTGATCTAAGGAATCAAGGCGTGAGTCCATGGAAAGTCCCATCATTCCCTCTCCAGTGACAAGCTCCGCAGCTGAACAACCTGAAAATGAAATTTCAACCTGCCTTGCCTGTTGAACTGTTTCCATCTAAGTAGGAGAAAAACCTCAATGGATTGGACTACCCTGGAAATCATGTTCCTAGAACCTGAACTATGTATTGCAATATTTTTATTCTGCTACTGTTGTTTCCCTTGTACCTTCTTTGGTAGAAGGAAGGACCATGGGCCCAATACTTTAAGGAACAAAAGGGAGTTGTGTTTATAACAAGACTAGATATTTCACTTGCAAAGGGGCAACAGGGTTGCTTGTTATGCTCCTGTCAATACACTAAAGCTTTACCAACAACTTCAAATCTGGACATATGGAGGGACATACAGACATTACCTTTTGGGGAAGAATAACACGAGACATATGGACAAGTGCCAGGATTTTTTTTTTTTTTATGCATGTAAAACTATTGACTATAATCAAGCTAAGTGGACTAAGTGTGGAGACAGGCCTACTCATTTAATGCCAAATATGTTTGCACATCCTACCCAACCTGGCATAATCAAAGGATTCCTGCAGCCCAGTGTGCTTAAAGATAACCAGACCAATGGATTTTTCAGCATCATTTGAACTAGCTATCAATTGAACCAGATACAAATATGAGTTCAAGTTGATTTTCATGAACTGGAAACTACAATTGAGATTTCCTCAGTATCAAATATTTTTTTTTATTGATCTGCCCCCAAAGTATTGTTTCATTTTTAAATGTGAAGCTTGACAGATTCAATTAGAGAACATCACTTCTCATTTTAATTTGACTTGGAAAGTAAAGGACCGCCCAACCAAATGGGCACTCTATTTCATCATTGTGACCCTAAATTGCATTATTAGACCCCAGTCCGACATTACATATAAGGAATATGTCACAGAAATCACTGACAGAATGCGAATGTTGGCTCATGTCCCTGTCCAGACATAGACAGAAGCACTGGATGTTGGAAGTTAGTTTTCGGGAATGTTTGATAATTGGAAAAGGATATTGTTCATTGTGGTTTTGGCCTTAAGAGGGTTGTTGTGTTTACCATGCCTTATTCCGCTTATTCAAAGAATTGTTAGATCCACTATATCCGGACTAACTTTTGCTGCCACTCCTATCTATAACGATAAACCAGCTAAAGCAATGATTTTAAGACCTTTACCTTCTGACTATGCTTCCCTCTTCAGGAGTCCCTAACCCTATTCAGCTTTTATATTAAAAAGGGAGGATTGAAGGGATTTTATTATGCTTAAGGCTTGATATTAGTAGTGATATTTTGTAATCATTTTATATATAACTTTGTTTATTTGCAAGCAGCTTTGTAGGTGCCTTTGTAGGAAAATTATTTACATAAAAGCTAATGTCTCATGCTCTATATACAGGAGACTGCTCACATGAAAAGAACTCAGTAAGAGGAAGGGGAAAAGGAGTTACGGATGGAGACTGGGTTGCCGTGTATGAGTCATCATCATTTTTTTTGTGTGTGTGCTATCTTACGTCTGGTACAAAGACCTGATCTTTTGTTCTGAAAAGGTATAAAAGATGGAAGACATCTTTCATGGTTGTTGCCTCCATCCCTCTACCAGCCATGAAGAGGGATGGGGTCACCCAACTAGTTTTTGATCAAAATAAAAGTTGTTTGCTTGCTGAAACCTCAGCTCAGGAGTTTCTTTGATTCTTTTAAATTCCTGAGTAACGCTGGGACAATTATGAGGCTAAGTGGAAAAACTTACACTACAATGTGTTAATATCTCTCTTAGCCTGATAAAATTATATAAAAAATAGCAGTAGTAGAAAACTGAAAATGAAAATGCTTAAATATATTAGGTGTTAGAATACAGATGACAAGCAAGAACAACACTTTTCTTCTAAGTTGCTAAGGATGTCTGTTAGTAAGCCACTGGAAGTCTTGATAACATTTTTGGATTGTGATAAAAGTTAAAAATTGACCTTCAAGTATTTGAGAATTCTTGACCAAACAGCTTAGAATTAAACTTTCTAGAGTTCTTTCCTATGGCTATTATCTATAAAATGGCAAACATTTCTGAAGCTGCAAGACAATTTTTAATGTGAAAAAGAATTTGCCACTACATTTAAAAAAAAAACCCAATTATTTTTGTATAATATATACATATATTATTTATCTTCATTATTTCCAATGAAAGAATTAAATTAATTAGAAATCCCTTTGGAAGTATAAAGCATAATAAAACCTACAATAATGGTAACTGTAACAATTATAATAAAGTGCCAGTTGTTTTACATATCATCGTTTTTTAAGACCCACTGTTACCACTTGTAGGCTTATTAAAGCTCCTACTCATTTGTGGAAAGTGTACAGTTGGGGTTCTTTCATTTGGGCCATATAATCCTAGATTTCTGGCTGCAGCTGATTTTCTGAGTGGCTTGACACTAGGGAAAGGACAAAAGACTTGTGGCCTAGGCATGCAGGATTTTGTCACTATTCCACTGTCATTGGCTAAACTTGGCAATTCATAACCGTGTGTTTTGTCTTCAGTACCATCTCTACTATTCTGTGTAAGTTCCAAGGTTTCCAACTTCTGCTGGACCACTGATACGTTGGCATTGGAATTGATATTTTTATAAGTTGGTTTAGGAGATTGTCCATCTGTTGAAAGGTTCCCATCACCTTCCACAGTTTTAGATTTATTTGCAGTTTCTTCTTTTGTATTAATACTACTGGCTTTCCCACGTTCACTGTGCTTCTCTATTAGTCCTATTGTATCTCCGTAGCCCAGATGGCCTTTGGCTCGCTCTATGTTCTTTCGGTGTATCCTCATGTGAGTGTGCCATGGAGAATTTAGTTTTGCTTTAATATCTTCATGCGGACCTGGTAACATCTTTCCCCCAGTGTGGCTTGGAACATTGTTTTTGGCAGACTTGCTGGTTTGTTTGATCTTCTTCCCCAGCAGAAGATGGTTGATTACTGAAGAATGATTTACCTGAGAAGGCATAAGATTGGTAACTGGACCTTTATCTGAAATAAAAATAAATGTATTTTAAAGTATATTGTTGAAAGAAATATGGCAAATAGAAAACACATTTTCTGATTGTACTGCAGGCACAAAAGCAAAGACTTGTAGGATTTGAAGCAGAGGAATGTTCATTTCACTTATATTCTACAGCATTATTTTTAAAACCAAACCTAAGGCATCTATCTTGCCCAACAAGTAAACATTGCATTATGTTTGCTGCAGTTTTATTCACTGATAAACAAAATGGCTGTAAAAAATACAAAATATATTCAGAGTACAAAATAGTGAAAGTAATTTTAATTAACATTTCTAAAAATTAAAGGTGTTGTATATAGGAAGCAGCCTTAGAACAATTAGTTTCTCTCTCCCTCTCATTTGCAATAACTAGGAGTGACTCTTCAGAATTTTCTCTCTCCTACCAGAAAATGCCATTCTCTTAGGCACTGCTACTAACTAGAATCAGATTTATTAATTACTGTATAATAATTTTTCCCTGTCACCTATCCCAAAGTAATGCCACATAAAAATACATTTTTGCTAGTTATTAATGTGAAATCTAATATAAATGCTCTAATAATTAGACTGTGAATTAAATTAGTTTTTAGTGAATGAATAAACATCACAATAATAATTTAAGTAATTATGTTTCCATTCCCACTTTGATTAACTAAATCAGTGATGGCGAACCTTTTAGAGACCAAGTGCCCAAACTGCAACCCCAAACCCACTTATGCATCCTCGGGTGCCTGGAGGGTGCACGGCCATTGGGTGGGTGTGGTGCATGGGCTGGGTGTGGCTGCAGTGGTAACGGCAGACTGGGTGGACTAAAAAGTTCAATCAATCAATTCCAACTTTGCAAGATTTTTTTTCCCGCAAGAAGTTGAAATTGACTGATTGATTCAACCTTTTTTTTTTTGCACACGGCGGCGGAGGCCTAAAGGAAAAAGGTTTTATAAAACCCAGCTGAAGGCCTAGGACTGGGGCAACGGCGCACAGGCCCACAGAAAGGGCTCTGAGTGCTGCCTCTGGCACCCGTGCCATAAGTTCGCCACCACTGAACTAAATCATGCCAACAGGATGCTATATATCTTTAACTCATATTTATAAAGCACATAATCAAAAACCATGTCATACCTGATCTTATGCAATTAAGATTGATTAATTTAATATGGTATTCTCAATGTACATCAAAATGTCAAAAATAATCAACATGTAGCTAAACTATATAATTGGAAAAGATTAGTAAAAGGAAGATTTGGCAATCTTGGAAAATGAAAATTTTATTTTGTTTTGACAACATAATTATATTGCACTTCTCAAAATTTTTGAAAAGATACTGTCCTGTAACATGCAGACCACCTATCCTGTGCATTCATCCTTGCAGGTGGAGAGGAGTCCACAATGCAAGATACAATATGCAAACACTTTCATTATTATACCAGTGCAGGAGGTTATTGCAGGAGGGTAAGTGAAAATGTAGGCCTCCATTGTTAATCCCACAGATAGTATGACCATTAACAATTTTGATTTATTCTACATGAAGCAGCATAGCCTGTGAAATAAACATGTTTACCTATATATAATCTTACAGGATTTAGATCAAAATTTTTTATACACTTAATCAACTTAATCGTGTAATACTTCAGTAGTTCAGACTGCTGCTTAGTACCTAGTTAGGTGTTTAGAAATTTGTATTCCAAATCCAAGGATGCCAGAAATGTTAGTGAAATCAATACCTAAGACCCCTGGAGCCCAAATAGCACAGATATCTTTAAATACCATTATTCAGCTGGTCCCTGGGATCTAAAACTATCCCAAGGTCATCATCTTCATACCCTAACAAAAGAAAAACAAAGATTATAAACTCTTTTATAAGTAGCTTTTCATCATCAGAAAAGATCTCATCTTTTCCCCCCTTCTCCTTCTTCTTATACACTATAAACTAAACTGAATACAAATGTGATTTGCTTCGTAATACAAATAGAACTTGAACTAATAATTGCTTCCAATTATTAATTACCTGCTGTGATGTACACATGATGAACCTGCTGTTGCTGCTTCCTTTTTATACGAGAATACTGTCTTTTCAATGCATTGATGTCAGTGGTCATACGTTCCATCATCATACTGTTAAAAGCTGCATGATATTCATTTCGGCAAGCATTTATTGCACCAGGACTTAATTCTGCAATGTTACTCAAGCCTGAACTCTCCTCTTGATTATAGTCTGGGAAAAACATTACAAATATATCAGCCAGGTCATATACAGTTGATACAGTTGAAGTTACCCCTGATATTTCCACTTAATTGAATTAGAAAACTTATAAGTCCTACATACAGAAGCTATCCAGAATCAAAAACTGTATATACCGTACTTTCCGGCGTACAAGACGACTTTCACAAGCTTTAAAATTGGCACCGAAGACGGGGGTCGTCTTATATGCCGAGTCGTCTTATACGCCAGAAATAATGGTAGTTTCCGGTGTATAAGACGACTTTCTAGGCATGCGACTCGGCACCGAAGACGGGGGTCGTCTTATACGCTGGGTCGCCTTATACGCCGGAATATACGGTACACTGAGAAATTACTGCTTTATTAGTGATAAATATTTGACTGAGAATTACAGGTTATTTTAAAATGTAGTGTACAGTAAGCCATGGAAATCAAGAGGGATAAGAACGATACTGATAAAAAACTCAATTCCTTAATGAACTCATAAGATCCAATCATCGTATTATATGAATGTAAGTGGGAACTTCTTAACTGAAGATATGAATGTAGGTGGGGACTTCTCAACTGAAGATCCATTTCTCTATTTAAAATATTACTATGTTTCTCCAAAAATAAGATCCGGTCTTATTGGTCCAAAAAACTCATTAGAGCTTATTTTCAGGGGATGTCTTATGGGAGGCAGCGAGGGCACGGGAGGCGAAGATGTCCAGCAGCAGCTGCGGCCCACCGGCCCCTTGGCCGGTGCACTCCAGGGTTGCAAAGCCCATACAGTGCAGGTGAGTGGGAGCACTGCTACTGCCAGGTTGGCCCCTGCTGGATGTGCTGCACAGCCACCCGCCCACTCTATTCACCGTCTATTTGCTCGTGGCTGCAATGGCTTACAGCGCTTCTCAGGGCAGATGCTTCGGAGGTGAGGGCAGTGTCTTCAGGCAAGAAGGAGAGGCGGGGGCAGCCCAAGGACTGGGTGGCGCATGCCTCCCCTGCTGCCTCCCTCCACCTGGCAGACACCCGCCAAAGCTGTGCAGAGCAGGGGAAGTGTGCGCCATCTGGTCCTTCGATTCCCCAGCCTGTCTGCACCATTCTCCTCATCTGAAGATGCGTTCCACCAGCACTGCCCTCGCCTCCCAAGCATCTACCCTGGGAAGCCCTGTAAGCCCTGTGGTTGTGGGCAAGCATATGGTGAAACAGTGGGTGGGTGGTTAACTAGGGCTTATTTTTCGAATAGGGCTTATAGTAACATAAAAATCATGCTAGGGCTTATTTTCTCGTTGGGTCTTATTTTCAGGGAAACATGGTATTTTCAGTGTCTGTAAACTATGATGGTTAGGCTGGCATCATAATGTCACCTGCAGGGCTATGATTTGTATTTTTATACTCTTTGGGGAGGGGCAATGCCTTTCAGTGAATTTACAAATAAAAACTTCATTATATCCAAAAGTAATATAATATTTATGCATATCAATAGAAATGCAGGCATGGGCAGAGATCTTGCTTCAGTTTTTGGATGTTTTCCTGCCAAGTTCCAATAGTGCAATGGTAGAAGATCTAGGATATGCAAAAAGTAGGGTTCAGGGGGCCACATTTTGATTTTTATATTGTCTAACCTTGCCATAGAGGCTAATGTACTACACACCCTGGACACACCACATCACTATCTTAAAGGCCACACAACTGTAGTGACTTTTTATTTGCATATTTTATTATCATCGGCTGGGAATAAGAATTAAAACATCATGCTTGAGGAAATGAAATTAGCCTCAGCAGCAAAGCCTTGTATACCAGTTGAATCCCCAATAAAATTATTGAAATTTCAGAAATTAATATTTACCTTTGAAATGCTTTTGATAGTTCTGTAGTTCTGGAGCCAAAAATCCACTAAATGATCCAAGACATCCAATAACATTTGCTATAGAGTCTTCATCACCTATTTCATTCTCTTCATCACTGTCTTTTATTTTTCCAAGTCGGCTAAAAAACCAGAGCACACAGATATGACTTTCTAGGATGATGAGGTGTAAGCCAAAATAATGTGAGCGATTCCTCAAGCTGTTTCTTTCTTTACTTACACCCGAAATAGTCAGAAGATGCCTTACCTTGCAGTTGATTTTACCGTAGCAGGAAATGGTGTAATGTTATATGTATATTTCTCTCTTAATTCAGATAGCTGAGGGAAGGGGAACTGGGCCATAGAATAAACCATCTATGAAAAAGAGAGGAAAGAAACCAAAGAAAAGAATACTTTTAGGACACTTTTCATGCAAACTCAAATACAAGATAATCCACCTACATTTGCAAGATTAGACATTGCCTTTTGCACATTTACAAAAGCAAATATAAAAACCTTGATTATTACTAATGCAACAAACATTGCTTGCAGGAACTACAAAGAATAATCCACAAGAAATATAACCAGTCAAGTCCTGGAGTTAACAAGAGTGTTAGGGTGAAAATAATGAAAATGCTGTGAATGCATGTATTTCTTGCATTCGAAGGAATTTGTATGCAGAGCAAACTATGCATATGTATATACAACTACTTATTTTATACCTTAATGCATTTATCTTCAATGCCTTAGAAGTCTTAACTTGTTGTTGTTAATTGCGAAGTCGTGTCCGACCCATCGCAACCCCATGGACAACGTTCCTCCAGGTCTTCCTGTCCTCTACCATCTTCTGGAGTCCATTTAAGTTCTCACCTACTGCTTCAGTGACTCCATCCAGCCATCTCATTCTCTGTCGTCCTCTTCTTCTATTGCCCTCAATCTTTCCCAGCATTAGGCCTTCTCCAGTGAATCCTTCCTTCTCATTAGGTGGCCAAAGTATTGAGTTTCAACTTCAGGATCTGGCCTTCTAAAGAGCAGTCGGGGTTGATCTCTTCTAGGACTGACCGGTTTGAACGCCTTGCAGTCCAAGGGACTCGCAGGAGTCTTCTCCAGCACCATAGTTGAAAGGCCTCAATTCTTTGCGCTCAGCCTTTCTTATGGTCCAACTTTCACAGCCATACATTGCAACTGGGAAAACCATGGCCTGGACTATACGCACTTTTGTTGGCAGGGTGATGTCTCTGCTTTTTAGTATGCTGTCTAGATTTGCCATAGCTTTCCTCCCCAGGAGCAAGCGTCTTTTAATTTCTTGGCTGCAGTCCCCATCTGAGGTGATCTTTGAGCCCAGAAAAATAAAATCTGTCACTACCTCCATTTCTTCCCCATCTATTTGCCAGGAATTGAGAGGGCCGGATGCCATGATTTTGGTTTTCTTAATGTTGAGTTTCAAGCCAACTTTTGCACTCTCCTTCTTCACCCGCATCAAGAGGCTCTTTAGTTCCTCTTCACTTTCTGCCATTAGAGTGGTATCATCTGCATATCTTAGGTTGTTGATATTTCTCCCGGCAATCTTAATTCCAACGTTTGATTCATCTAGCCCTGCCTTTCTCATGATGTGCTCTGCATATAAGTTAAATAGGCGGGGCGCAGTATACAGCCTTGCTGGACTCCTTTTCCAATTTTGAACCAATCAGTGGTTCCGTGTCCAGTTCTCACTGTTGCTTCTTGACCCGCATATAAGTTTCTCAAGAGACAAATGAGATGGTCTGGTACTCCCATCTCTTTAAGAACTTGCCACAATTTGTTGTGATCCACACAATCAAAGGCTTTTGCATAGTCCATGAAGCAGAAGTAGATGTTTTTCTGGAACTCCCTAGCTTTCTCCATGATCCAGCGTATGTTGGCAATTTGATCTCTAGTTCCTCTGCCTCTTCGAAATCCTGCCTGTACTTCTGGTAGTTCTCTATCTACATACTGCTGGAGTCTAGCTTGTAGGATTTTAAGCATAACTTTACTAGCATGTGAAATGAGTGCAATGGTGCGATAGTTTGAACATTCTTTGGCATTGCCTTTCTTTGGAATTGGAATGTAAACTGACCTTTTCCAATCCTGTGGCCAATGTTGAGTTTTCCAAATTTGCTGGCAAATTGAGTGTAGCACTTTTACTGCATCGTCTTTTAAGATTTTGAATAGCTCAGCTGGAATACTGTCACCTCCACTAGCTTTGTTGTTGCTCAGATTTTCTAAGGCCCATTTCACTTCACATTCTAGGATGTCTGGTTCGAGGTCAGTGACCACCCCATCGTGGTTATCTGGGATGTTAAGCTCATTCTTGTATAGTTTTTCTGTGTAGTTTTGCCATCTCTTCTTAATCTCTTCTGCCTCTGTTAGGTCTCTGCCATTTTGGTCCTTTATCATGCCCATCTTTGCATGAAATGTTCCCTTCATATCTCCAATTTTCTTGAAGAGATCTCTGGTCCTCCCTATTCTGTTGTTTTCTTCTATTTCTTTGCACTGTTCATTTAAGAAGGCATTCTTATCTCTTCTAGCTACTCTCTGGAATTCTGCATTCAATTGGGTGTATTTTTCTCTTTCTCCCTTGCCTTTCGCTTCCCTTCTTTCCTCAGCTATTTGCAAAGCTTCCTCAGACAGCCATTTTGCTTTCTTGCATTTCTTTTTCTTTGGGATGGTTTTAGTTGCTACCTCTTGTACAATGTTGCGAACTTCCATCCATAGTTCTTCAGGCACTCTGTCTATCAGATCTAATTCCTTAAATCTATTTGTCACCTCTACTGTATATTCATCAGGAATATGATTTAGTTCATACCTGAGTGGCCTAGTGCTTTTCCCTACTTTTTTCAATTTAAGCCTAAATTTTGCAACGAGAAGCTCATGATCTGAGCCACAGTCAGCTCCTGGTCTTGTTTTTACTGACTGTATAGAGCTTCTCCATCTTTGGCTGCAGAGCACATAGTCAATCTGATTTCTATGTTGACCGTCTGGTGATGTCCATGTGTAGAGCCGTCTCTTGGGTTGTTGGAAAAGAGTGTTTGTTATGACCATCGTATTCTCTTGACAAAATTCTATTAGCCTGTGCCCTGCTTCATTTTGTACTCCAAGGCCAAACTTGCCTGTTATTCCGGTTATCTTTTGGCTTCCTACCTTAGCATTCCAATCCCCCATGATGATAAGGACATCATTTTTTGGTGTTAATTCTATAAGGTGCTGTAGGGCTTCATAAAACTGGTCAATTTCATCCTCTTCAGCACCAGTGGTTGGAGCATAGATTTGGACTATTGTGATATTGAATGGTTTGCCTTGGATTCGAATTGAGATCATTCTGTCATTTTGGGGATTGTATCCCAGTATTGCTTTTCCTATTCTTTTATTGACTATGAAGGCTACTCCATTTCGTCTGAGGGATTCTTGCCCACAGTAGTATACCTGATGGTCATCTGAGTTAAATTCACCCATTCCTGTCTATTTTAGTTCGTTGATTCCTAAGATGTCGATGTTCAGTCTTGTCATCTCTTTTTTGATTACGTCTAGCTTGCCTTGATTCATGGATCTTACGTTCCAGGTTCCTATGGAGAAAAAGTCTTTACAGCATCGGACTTTCCTTTCACCACCAGATATATCCACAGCTGAGCGTCCTTTCGGCTTTGGCCCAGTCGCTTCATTCTTTTTGGCGCTACTAGTACTAGCCCTCTGCTCTTCCCCAGTAGCATATTGGACACCTTCCGACCTGAGGAGCTCATCTTCCAGCGTCATATCTTTTTGCCTTTTAGTACTGTCCATGGGGTTTTCATGGCAAAGATACTGGAGTGGTTTGCCATTTCCTTCTCCAGTGGATCACATTTTGTCAGAACTCTCTGCTATAACCTGTCCATCTTGGGTGGCCCTGCACGGCATAGCTTATAGCTTCATTGAGTTACGCAAGCCCCTTCGCCACGACAAGGCAGTAATCCATAAAGGGGAAATCTTAACTATATGATTTCAATTTTAAAGAAACAATCTGTATCAATAGAAACAGGTATACTTGTAGAAAAATATCTATTATAAAGAAACTCTCTTTTATGAATTTCTCAATATCACAACACTAACAAATATGATATGCCTCCTATTAGCCGGAAGCCTATATCAGTCAAGGATTGATTAGAATATTGGATTAAGATGATGGAAATCCACATTTAAATTCCCATTAAATCACTAGATTCATTAAGTTACTTTGTGCTAATATTTGTGCTAATGGTTTAAGCTTGTTCGGTGGAATTATTATAGTATATTATATTATAATAAGAATACAACCCTGTCATGTCAAGTTGATTTCTCATTTTTTCAGTACTTCCACTGTTAGTCATCCAATAAATAATCAAAACTACCAAGATTTCATTAAGGCTGATATAAGACAGTAATATTAATAAAAGTTGAAAACTTGAAAATGCTTATAATACATACTCAGGACTGAAACACATTGATAGAGCAGTTTTGGAATTTATAAGCCTGGCTAATAAAGTCTTCATAGAGTAGAGGGAGCAAAATATCTTTAGATTTACAGTATTTTTTCAAAAACTCATTTTGGTCCTTTATTTTGGCCAGTTAATTTTTCATGCACAATCTTTCACATTCATGTGAAAAATATGGAAATTGAATTGTCTTTATAAAATAAATGTATATATACTGCTTCATTTTAGATATTTTTATTAGAATATACTGAATCCTTAATCTCAAATATTGTTCTAAATATAAGCCTCTGCAAACTAAAATTATGGACTAATAGATGTTGCAATTTTAAGAAATGAATAAAAGGCATAGAGTAAATAACGGCAGATGAAATTTTGAAAGCAATAATATGGGGAAAATTTCTAGATTACATTACATTTTAAAAATTAAATAAGATATTAATTGAACACATTTGGCTTAATATGCAAATCTGTTAGACCTCAAACTGTATATCTTGCATGAAAACTGAGAAAAATCCCACATTGTACTGATTGTGGCGGGCTAGCAATTCAGCAGCACAAAATCACCAAATGTGTAAACAACTCCTCCCCCATGCACTGCAAGCCTAAATTCTGCCTCTCCACATTAGTTTGATCATCTCTTCATTATTATTGTACCACTTCCTTTCCTGAGGAGGGGGAGGAGGTGTGAGAGAATCTGAAAATTATTTCAATAGCAACCTTTTTCTTAGTCTGTCCATAAATGAAACAGTGATCATATCATTTCATTAGTGTTGTTGATCGCCAGACAGTGAATGGATTTTTAAATCTCTCACACAAACACGCACACATACACACATCTTGTTTTTGTTTCTAACTATAGCAGATTATTCTTCTGAAATGAAGTACATAATTTTCACTTCCTCAGCAATATAATCCAAATATAGACTTAGCTGTTGAAAGAAGAGGATAAGGATTCACTACCTTATCTGAATTAGATTAATTTTGTTCTGACAAATACCAGGGGGCTAAGAAATCTGGACTGAAAACAATACAGATTTGTTTTTTTGATGCTATTCAGTGCATTTTTGAAGCCTGGATTGGTAGTCATAAAAGACTGTACATTGTGATTTTCCACATCAGTCAAAACCACTAAAATTGACTGGAGAGCAATTTAAACTGACATTTGTCACATATTTCTCATTATATAGCAGTGCTTCTCAGTCCTAGTTATGTTACAATTTGTTCCTTAGCCAAATGCATTGCTATACAAACTAACATCTAAAACATTATCAAGAATAGACAGAGCTACATGGACAACCATTGTATATGTTTTAAAAGCATAATAATATTGTATTATTCATAAGATTCTTTTTTGCTTTGATACACTTGCCAAACCTAGATAGAAAGTAAACAATACCCTAATGCATCCTGTTAGTAATAATAGAATGATATGCTTTGAGAGAGCTGTTAAGAATTTTACTAGACTTTTAATAGTTACTGAACATAGCAAGTTGGAATTCATTTCAATTGTTAGCCCAATTTTATCACTGACTGATAGACAGCAGTTCCGCTGGGATTGAAGAGATCTTTCTCAGCTTTACTTAGAAAAGTCAGGGATTGAGTCTTTGACTCTATGACTTAATTAACTTTTAATATTTTTAACAAGATGTATCAAGTTGGTTTAAAGCCAATCTAATTTCATATTTTCTTACTAACCTGCATGAGTTCATTGCTATCAACAAGTTTATCTTCCAGCATCTCCTGCGTTAATTTTCCCATGGTGCCATAGAAGTCATCTGCAGTTTCACAAGAATTGATCTGCCTGCATCACAACACAAATATTTCTGTTGCTATATATGTTGTAATCCCATATTGTACATTATTTGCTTTATTAAGCTGTTTTTCTTGTTTCCTTAGGACTACATTTAAGGCTACATTTAATGACAGCCTAAACAGATAACTACAAAAATGTTGCTTCTTCAAGGATGGCTTGAGAACAGTACCCTGGCCTAGGATAATTACCGGTATCATAGTAGTGGCAGAGAATAAAGATATGGTGATATCCAGTTACACAAGGACAGAGAAATTAAGCATTTAACAGTTTTTGTCCCTTCTGGAAGTCTTTATCAGCAATCAATTATTGGAGAGATAAGCCCTTCAAAGAACCTGATCTTTAGTCTCAGTAGTGTCAGGTCAGTCCTATAAAGCAGAGATCATCTATGATTTGACTGAAGTGAGAAACTACATTGGCCAGTGAAATAGTCACTTATTTAGGGAAGCAAGTATGCTGATATGGGTCACATCTGTTTTGGCTGGATATTCTGAAGCTGAAGGAGTAAAAAATGTGGTGTAGCTGTGATTCTTGAAAACAGTGTACTCCTTAACAACTGTGACAAAACTGTATTTTTCAGCATGAGCACCTTGGTTTGCAATTAGGAATAAATCAAAGATTTTGTTAATTTATTGTGTTGCGCTATAGTCTGAAAAAATTCCTAACTGACCAATGGGAATTGTATTTGATGTCTGAAACTCCTGGATTTCAATATCCATTTTAAGTTTTGTCTAGAAAAATTTAGGAATTCATAGCAGCTATAATAAGGATGCTCTATCCCAATTGATAACAGGTACGATAAATGATGTAGATTATATATTTTGACATTTTTTTCTAATCAGGGGGATGTTCTGTTAGTGGGAAAGCCTCAAGTTTCTCCTTTGTCATGGATGGAGCCCCATTGGATTAGTGGTTGTACTTCACTTTTATTGAGGGTCAGTGGGCTTATTAAGATGAGCTGCCTGAAACATTTATTGTACTCAGCTAGTTACCAAGTGAAGGGTTCTGGAACAAAGGGAAATTGTTTAGTCTAACTGTTGCTTTCTTGCTTTTTGTAATCAGTTTTTGCACCAGAAAAATTTCATGCAAGTGTGGGACACATGTACATGGATGGGATATACTGAAGGAGGGAATAAGGGAGTGTACAGGAATGATTGATGTCTTTCTTATGATGTAATGGCTCTGTTGTCTGATTTTCATTGGCTAACAAAGTTTATAAAGCAATGCTACCAACTTTCTAAGGCATGGCACTTCTGGACATAACTCTGCAGTGTTCCAGATTGTTGGCCACCCAGCTGCTTAATTTGATCAAATAAAGTGCTGCTTGATCAAGAAGTCTCTGCTTGGGTATCTAATTAAATTGATATGGTATCTCAAGTTTAAGTAAGGGACTGGGACTTTACATTTCTGGTGAACTGAACAGGGACTTGAAAGTTTTTTTTCTTCAAGGTTGTTTCTCATTGAGACTCCCTGTGAATGAGTTCCGTTGTAACTACAACCTTCAGGCATGATATCCAGGAAAACTGGTGTGGCCAAAAGATAAGGTGAAGAGCAAGAAACCGTTTAAGCACAAGACAAGAGAAAACAGGTTAAACAATGGGGAAACAGGCAAGGCAAATGAAAAGGAGGGGCCGTGTTTCCAGTAGGCCGTGTGTTAGCCCATTGGAAAGCACTGAAATTTGCCTGGAAAAAGCATGAAAATGAAATATCTGTATGTGAAACTGTGTATGCAAGCAGTTTGAATGGAACTGAATGTGTGAGTATGCTGAATGTGCAAGTGTATGTGTGTGTGTTTGTGTGAAATGCCTGAAAGGCAGGAATTTAGTTGCCTGCAATGTGAGATTGCTGGAAGAAATTGGGAATCATGAAAACTGTGTGACTGTGAAGGACCCCCCCCCCCCGGAGATTGAGAGAGAGAGTGTGTGTGTGTGTCATGGTTCTGACAGATGAAACTCTTCAAAGAACTTCGAAGCATTGTTTACCTTAAAGAATCTTTATTCGAGTAGCATAACATCGGCATGTACATAGTCCAAGCCAAAATCTGAATTCCCCTCCCCTAGCACATAGTATCAAAGCACAATTCCCTCCTTTGATTAACAGTCATAAATCACATTCTCCAATTAGTTTGACATGCTGGCTTTCCCTTCAGTTCTTCAACCCGCCATTTCTTATTATCTCTTATTACAAAAAAACCTTGGTTCCCACCCTTATACAGTATTGTTATGTCTAACTAAACTCCCATGTCCTCCCCCCCCCAGTTACATCTAATTCTAACTCTAAGAGTAAAACATAAAGTAAAGGAAAATGGTTGCATCTCCATATGTTGTCAAAGCAAGAACATTTGATGTTAGCAGTGTTGATATCCAGCCCCCCTTATAGAAAGGACAGATCCTGTAACATAAACAAAAGCATATGTTGGGGACTGTCTCTCGGTTTGTTAGGGTGCTTCCTATAGAACCTTTTCATGAGCCTATCGGCTTTCACATTGCTAGCTTTCACCTAAGTGGCTTCAGACAGTGAGTATCCCTTCCATTGCACTAAGTACTGCAATTTCCCTTTAAAAATTCTAGAATCAAGAATACACTTTACTTCATAGTGAATCTGACCTGCTACCACGAGGGATCCGGGTGCCTTCGTAGGGGGATGTCTTAAAGTGGAGCCCCTAAAAGGTTTCAATAAGCTGCAATGGAAGACAGGGTGCACTCTTCCTAAAAGCCTAATTAATTCTACTGTGACTGGGTTAATGATCTTTACAATAGGGAAAGACTCCAAGAATTAAGGTTCTAATTTCTTGCTGGGTAATTTGAGGCGTAAATATTTAGTCAACAGATAAACAGCAGGGACAGTGAGTTAATTGATACAGAGTATCCCTGTCCCCGGTAATCTAAAAATTATAGATCTATCAGTTCATGTAACATAGACGTGTGTGTGGACAAAAATATCAACCTTGCTGTCAAGCAAAATCAAGCTTTTAATAGCATGTGCCACACAAATTGCACTAACCAAATAGGTGGTAAGAAAATAGGGGAACTCAGGCACCACACAGGTTATGTAGAAAGTAAACACAGGGTCAGTCATAAAGGACTCAAATATCTATACACCAATGCAGAGTATGAACAGCAAACAGGGTGAACTAGAAATTCAGGTTAATGAGGGCAGATATGATATTGTTGCCATTATAGAAACTTGGTGGGATGAAACCAACAAATGGAACACACAGCTAGAGGGATTTAAATTATTTAAAAGAAACAGACCAAATAAAAGAGGAGGTGGAGTTGCTCTCTATATAAGAAATAATTACATCTCTATAGAAATAGAGCACAACAATGATGAAAACTGTCCTGAATGCATTTGGGTCAATATAAAAGGGGGGGGGGGAAATGACATTGCCATAGGTGTATACTATAGGCCACCCAACCAAACAGAGGAAATAGATGAACTTTTTGCTAGTCAGCTAACTAAGATATGTAGGAAGCACATCACAATAGTAAAGGGGGATTTTAACTACCCTGACATCAACTGGGAGACAAACTCTGCACCAAGTGGAAGATCAAACAGATTACTGACAAACCTAGCAAACAACTTTCTCTCCCAAAAAGTAGAGAAGGGAATTAGGGGATTAGCCATTTTGGATCTAATTCTCACTAACAGAGACAAAATGATAGAAGGTGTTGAACCTTGGGAGGAAGTGATCATGTAATATTGGAATTCAACATTATGGAAGCACAAGCAATAGAACACAGTCAAACTAGAGTCTTGGACTTTAAGAAAGCTAATTTCAATAGACTTAGAGAGGGCTTGGGAAGGATTCCATGGATGAGAATCCTCAAGGGGAAAACAACTCAAGAAGCTTGGGAAATTTTGAAAAGTGAGATAATAAAAGCCCAGTCTAGCACAATACCAACAAAGAAGAAAAATAACAACTCTCAAAAGAAACCAGCACGGCTACATAAAGAACTCTCTGATAAATTGAAAGATAAAAAGGACAAGTATAGAAAGTGGAAAGAGGGGCACATAATTAAGGCAGTATATCAGCAAATAGCCCGAGCCTACAAAGATGAAGTGAGGAAAGCTAAGGCTCAAAATGAACTAAGGCTTGCGACCAAAGTCAAAAATAACAAAAAAAACCTTCTTTCAACATGTAAAAAACAAGAAAAAAGTTAAGGAAATGATTGGACCATTAGTGGAGGAAAGTGGCAAGAAGGTGACAAGCAACAGGGAAAAAGCAGAACTATTTAACTTGTTTTTTGCATCTCTCTTTACACAAAGGGAAAAAACAGACCAACCTATCAAAAATAGTGCCATAAAAAACAGAATAGAAACATAAGTTAAGATAGGCAAGAAAATGATAAGTGAGCACCTGTCTAGCCTAGATGAGTTCAAATCACCAGGACCAGATGGATTACACCCCAAGGTTCTCAAGGAACTGGCAGATGTGATCTCAGAACCACTGAATTATATTTTTCAAAGATCCTGGAGCACTGGAGAGCTACCAGCGGACTGGAAAAGAGCTAATGTAGTTCCCAACTTCAAAAAAGGAAAAAAAATGGATCCAGGAAATTACAGACCTATCAGCCTGACCTCAATACCTGGGAACATTCTGGAAAAGATAATCAAACAACAAATCTGCGAACACCTAGAGGCAAACAAAGCCAATATGGGTTTGTTAAAAACAGATCATGCCAGCCAAATGTTATTGCATTCTTTGACCAAATGACAAAATTAGTGGATCAGAGGAATGCTGTGGATATAATTTACTTGGACTTCAGTAAGGCATTTGATAAAATAGATCACAACCTACTACTTGATAAGATAGAAAAATGTGGGTTAGACAGCATTTCCACCAGATGGATTCATAGCCGGCTGACCGGTTGTACCCAGCGTGTGGTCCTCAATGGAACCCGCATCTACATGGAGGGAACTGTGTAGTGGGTTGCCCCAGGGCTCGGTTCTGGGCCCAGTGCTCTTCAACATCTTCATCAACGATTTGG